AGATGATCGTGAATGGTGAGAAGAAATCTTTCGTTAAACTGGAAGGCGAAGGGAAATTGTTCCTGTAACTGCCACACTCCTTCCAGGAACTGGAGAAACACTGGTGATGTCTCCTTAAGATCTGATTGGAGGAAACCACACCTGAAAGGAGACAGTTGGATGGTACGAATATAGTGCATTCCGATTGTGTCAGGAAACAAAATTGGAGACATTACAACGGTGAATCAGAAGAACGATAGACAGCGCAAGGAAAAAAAAAAAGAACTCCAAGTAAACACATGTAAACAGCATAAGTAAGTAACTGACGGAAATCGTTCTTACCTCTCAGTGAACTTGTGTCCAAATGCAAGCCACTCTTTCTCAATCAACACCTATGTTTGTCAGAAACAATAGCCAATAAACACATTTTAGTGTAGCTTTAGAGTTGTAGGAGAGTGCCACTTCTTTTAATAGTTAATCACGAAGAGTGTCAGGGGTGTAATCAGAAATAAAGGGTGATGCAATTTGATGAAAATCAAACCAAAAGAATTGGAAGCAAAATAATAATGATGCTATCTACGACTCTCTGTCACATGTGATCTAGAGTAGACCACATTGTTGAAGTGGAGGTTCCTAAAAACCTACATTGTGATTGGTTGGTTCCTCTGATATAGTTTGCGAAGGATGATAAGCATAGGAGTCACAGGTGGATATGGATGAACACCAATTTCTTTAAAGACAAAACTACTCAGATTTTTGATTTTCACAAACTTGAAATCTCTTGTAAAGAAACAGTTACAAGTTACAGTCACTCCAACTCCAACTCCAACTAAAACTCCACTGTTGGTGAAAATCAGGTTGTTTCTCTTTGCATCAAGATCACCATCCCTGGATAGTTCCTTACAGCAAAATGTTTAACCCTTAAACTTGTAAGATCTGATGGTGAATTCTCCCCTCTAGCTGCTACATATTTCCTTGTAAATAAGTTATGAGAAGTTAGTGTTACATCAAGATAACATCTTCTACCTGTGATCAGTTTGAGTATTCTCAGTACCTTTTTTCTAGATAATGCATTCATGTTATAGGGAGAAGTTATATGTTGATCACTTTTGCGTTCAAAGGTTAATCATGTACCTGAAATCCATGCATTGTCCTGTAGTAAGGATCCAACATCATACTTGCTAAAGACCATGTTTGGGCAGTCCTGTCCCAACCATCACTGCATTGGACAACAACACTGACCTTCTCCTCTACAACAGCCTGAAATTAAACACTTTTTTCAGTAAATGTAATTTATGACGTTTGACTGACATAGGAATGAATTAGTCACAAATTAATATTCTGACAGCAGGTTGAAGAGGTTCGCGTGGCATCACGGTAGTTTTGGATTATGTAAGCGTTTCGCGGGAAATTAAGTCATTCCAGGTCAGTCAGTCTTAAGTTTGACCACTTTCTTTTTTCTTACTTAATGTAATTTTGTTTTACAACTCTCTGTAAAATATCACTGCTTTCATTGAATTTTCTGTGCGATTAGTAGTGTATTTAGGTTTATTTTAATTAACCTTTCCTCGGGGTACAGTGCCGCTGCATTAGATGAGGAATACGTTTACACATATTTTTTTGGCCACTTCTAAAGAGTGGTTTTTTTTAGTGGTTTTTCATATCTGGCGTAGCACAGGCTATTTCGTATAGCCCTTTAGTTTCAGTAAATACTTCCAGTACATTGTAGATTCTAGTAGTAGGATGCGTATAGTACAAGGGTGGCTGACTCAGCCTAAATAAACTTTCACATTGAATATCTCGTCTGAATATAGTCAGAATCCTGGACAGGAGTTGTACAACAAAAAGGCACAGAACAATTATTATACCTTTGCTATAAACACTGAAGTGTCCAACACAGCTTTGATGTGTTTCATCCATCCACTGCTGTCCAGTCCACTTGCTAAAGCTTTGGCTGTTAATTCAGGCGTCTCACAGACCACTAGAGATTAGAAATTGTCAATGGACATCAACATCAGTGCCAAATTTATTCCAAATGCTACGGGTATCTGTGATTTCTGTCATAAAATGACCATCTATGTGAACTATGTCTACAAGTCCTTGAGTTCCCATACAAAGTCCAGCCTTCTGCACGAATTGTGCTTTTTATCTGGGTTTTTCTATTCCTTTGTTGAAAAGCCTTTTTTCAGATAATTTCCTCTTTTTTCTTATGGCATCCAGGCATCAAATTGTTGACAAAAAGAACTATACTGAATTTTCTTTTTAAGATTTCAGATCTGAGGTCAAATTTCACACTAAACCTGGGTTATCTTAACCCAGCTTTGAACAATCTAGGCCAGCTCCCTCGTGGCCCCTCCAACCCTCACAGGCTATCTACTAACTGACCAAAAATGATTTGAAGCTCTAGAAGGCTTATCACTTACACTCTATCATTTTCTGCAGACTTTGTCTCATAACGTGGATATTTTCAATTCCAACAAATTGAAACTTGACATTCTCATAAAAATCAGTACTTTCGTATCCTTTCCCAGCTGCTTTATTTGCCATCGCATTGATCTGCAATGACAGTAACCCCACAACATGAATAAATTATTATTTCAGGGGTTTCATTAAGGGCCGCGCACCAAGAAAATTGACCGGTCGTGAGGACGGTTTTGCCCACATGGTTCGACTATCTGCAGAAAAATTTTATATTATAAAGAAGTTCAGTTCAAAAAGTTTTGCCCATCCGTGAAGACCGGTTGCCCTCCTGTTGAAAACGTTGCTGAAACCCCTGTCATTTGTACAAAATTGTTTTTGATGGCAATGGTGGTGTGTTAATCTTCATTCACAGGTGTGTTTGTGAGATTAGACCAGCATTGATAATGATGATTATTTATATTCTCCATATGAATATGCTCTAATGTGTTTTATGGCACTTCACCAGGGACTTTGGCCAGATTGCAATTGCATTGAGCAGTTTACAATTTTTTTTTTTTGAAAGGGAATTTTAAAACAATGATCCTGTACACTCCTGTAATCATTAGGATTCAAACAATTACTAAGAAGTTTATTCCATATGATTGCTAAGCTTTTCCTTAGTGACCCTGCAAAATATAGGGAAACAAGGACTTAAGAAAAGTTGTCATACCTTTGGTCTTGTGTCAACTATGTACACATATTTGGCATCAGGCGTGGCCTTTGAGATGGCTTGAATGAGACTTTCATCCTCCTGGCATCTGGAGTTAAACCCTGATAGAGGCTGACTACAGCGACAAATTGCTGCCTGAACGTAAAAAGAGTAAAATTTTGATCCATAGACAATACATATGAATTAATTCACGCCTGGAATATTTGACATTTTCTGCTGAAAATGAAATCTTTTACAAAGAGCTTAAAAGACCTTCTTGCCGCAAAGGCTGAGAACATATATCAGTCTAACCTTTATTAAATAATTTTTACATCATATTTTACCTTTGTATCCTTGTAGAGGTAAGATAAAGCTGGAAGTCTGCCTCGACTGCGGAACCTTGAGCTACCAATAAGAACAGGGTTGGAGGCAGAGGCAGGCAGATAAAGAACACTTGGATATGTATCACAGACCTGTATTAACAAAAGAATAGGCCATTTTACAGTAAGTCGTGTACTTAGTTGCTAAGCCTTTGATTCAGAGTGAGGCTGAAGGTGACCTTGTTGTGATAGAGACCTGTATCTACTTAGCATGATAACAAAGTGATTTACATTTGAAAGGCAGCAAGGTTT